AATTAACCCGGTATCTCAAAAATTGCGGAAGTTAGAGGTTGTACAAAATATCGCGTACACACACACACACACACACACATTTTTTAGGAATATGATTTTTCGACGTTTTGGAACATTCTAAACACATTGGCATAGAAAACTCGAAAAAAAATTTTGTCACGAAAACAAAGCTTCCTCTATGAGAAAGCAAAAAGATGAAAGAAATGATAAAAGAGAGAATGTATGCTTGAGGTTTTACAGACAAGACAAGTATGTGCTTGTCGTGGTCATCGTTTTTAATCCAACAGTCCCCTTCGACGGAAAAAGGTATGATCCAACACCTCGCGCGATGCACATGCTAAACCAGTTCGTGATCTTTTGTATGACTCGTACTAAACGTTATGCGCGAGAGGAAGTGAAAGCAACGTTCGCGGGACAATACGGCCATGGACTATCTGTCTCCTGTCGCAATGTCGAACTCGCTCAAGTCCAGGCGAATGATGCGAAAAAAAAAAAAAAAAAAAATTGTTTCGACCTGCGTAATTTTCTATTGAGCTCACTTTAGATGATCTATTATTGGCGATAGAAATTTATTTGTAATTTTATATTCTAATGCATGCGTGTGTCCTGTGATATATATTTTATTTTTTAAATGGATTTTTTAAATTACACGACATATCAAATTTAAATTAAATTCTCTTTCGAATTTTGTCACGTATTATAAATCATCTAAAGTAAGCTTTAGCACGTAAAAAAAAAATCATATTTTTTTATATCTTAGAATTCACGTAGAAAGAAATCTCGTGTCTTAAAACATTAGATTAATTTATATTTGCATAATTTTTATGCTTGTAATAATAATTCAAATATTTCATCATAAAGCGAAAATGGTATAATATAACGGAATATTAAGCTGACGAAAATTAAGTATGAAAAATTATTATATTTAATATTATATGATTAATTATACAGCGAGTGTTTTACATACAGTCAACTCTGTAACAATATATTTAAAAAAGATGTTAGCAAAGAATATCAAGTAACGCGATAACATTTGAGACGATATACAATTGCACATCAGTCTGCGATTTGTGTTACTTAATAATATTTAAAATAAATCCTTTTCATACACACAGAAGGCGAGTCCTGATAAATGTCGCGAATAAATTAGCTAAAATGTTAGCTAATCCGAAGGAATAATCACGGTCACTCGACTGATTCTTATAAACGTCAGTAAGCTGTCGAGAGCATGGGTCGCTTGACTTGTGCAACGTCGTGTAAAAAGTAATAATTGATATACTCGGAGCATTTACCTCGCCTTTCGATAGCGACTATTTAAGGAACTCGAACGTGCGTTAGAATATATTTGAAACACCGGTACATAAAAACCACGTGTCACTTTTAATTTTGTTCCGGTCTGCTGAATAATACGCGTTGAGTAGCTCGATAAAATATTTTAATTTTAATTATATAAAAGGATTTAAAATTTATTAATAACTTAATAATTTAATCCTCCCTTCGTAAATAAAATCGATCAAATATCGATTGAATCGATTAATCAGCGCTTTGATGCGATACAGATAAGATGATAAACGTGAGGATTAAATTTGATTTCAATCTGCACGATAAGGTCTGCAACCGTATTTCAAGTGACTTAGAATTTATGTCAATAATATTTCACGATTATTGTACGACACGTATGATTACATCTCTGATCTCGACATTCCTTTCCAGAGGGTAAGGTCGAGGTGTCGAGAGATGGCAAATATCTCAGTACCTTGCAACACGGTAAGGTGCTAGGGGAGCTCGCTATTCTCTACAATTGCAAGAGGACAGCGACGATTACCGCGGCAACTGATTGCCATCTCTGGGCCATCGATCGACAATGCTTCCAAACTATTATGATGAGGACTGGTCTCTCGAGACAGGCGGAATACACGGATTTCTTGAAGAGGTAAAGCTAACATTAATCTTCAATTATCATAGTGGACTTTAATCTGATCTCATTGCAATGCCTGTTAAAGTGTTAAAGACACAGCGTTTATTTTTGATATATGTAATTTTTAATTAATTGTATGCAAATAATTAATTAATTGATTCTTAATTTGTTCAATCTTACAAAATCTTATGAAACTGTATTCTTTTTATTATGAAAGAGAAAAATGAAACTTTATATTTTTACATAAAGGCATGTACATCATTTATAGTTGGAGTCAAAGTCAATCTTGCCGAAAAATAATTGCGTTATTAAATCTTAAGATTTATGGAATCATTGCAATTAAAAATTAATTATTTCATAAGGCGTTAATATATCGTTTATTTTACTTCTACTAGTGATTTTATATTTTACATCGAGCGAGCGTACAATTTTGTGATAAAATTTTTTCCAAAAACTGCATTTTCATATTCCAGTATTATTAAGCATTTTTTGAATAAAAATTCGATAATGACCGATTGTTATTTGGAGAATCCTAAGTCACGTTTATGTAAGTCACGTCCTCTTCCATTTCTGATAAAAAAAAAAAATAATTCTTTCTTTGTTTTCACGTATTTAAAATTCGCAATTACATTTATGCAAATATTATTTCAATGATGTATAATCTATAACACAATTTATGTGTGATCAATTTTTACGTGATCTCTCATTATGAGAAATTATGAAAACGATAAATTAACGTGAATTGACATTTCGCATAGTTTTCATATGTCTAAGCCAATTATATAAATAATGTATTGTATCAATGTTCCGCCGTTTAGAAAACATTTCACTTTTGTATGCAGCGTCTGCGATTGAGATTATGCGGAAATTATAGCCTTCTTTGCCAAGAAAATAGAATGAGTATATTTTTACGCGCAATAGCCTGTTAAAAATACTTCTTAAGAAAATCATACAACCTTATATTACATTTAGGAATAACGCAAAATTTTACGTTTTCAGCGTGCCGATTTTCAAGAATCTACCCGAGGAAACTCTAATCAAAATTTCGGATGTTTTAGAAGAGGTAAGCCGTTCACTTCTTCTCTCGGCGAAATATACCTATATATATGAATTATTATTTATCATGATTATTAATTCTCTCGGCGAAATATGCTTATATATACGAATTATTATTTATCATGATTATTAATTTTATATTTTCTCTCGCGCAGACATTTTACAACAATGGGGACTACATAATAAGACAAGGCGCGAGAGGTGACACATTTTTCATCATCAGTAGGGGACAAGTACGCGTGACGATAAAACAGCCCGATACGATAGAAGAGAAGTACATCAGGACGTTAAGAAAAGGCGACTTTTTCGGCGAGAAAGCTTTACAAGGGTGAATATAATTAATATTTTTATTTTCTCTTCTTATATAAAGATATAAATTATTGTTCGGTTATCTTGATCAAATAAATTTACTACTTGACTATTGAATTAATTTAATTTATAAAATTGTATTAATGTTTTTAACCGAAAAGTTTTTATTTTGTTAATATATTAAGAGAGATTGATACTATACGAAACATAGAAATATATACTAATATATTCTTACAGAGATGATCTCAGGACTGCTAATATTATTGCTGATGATCCAGAAGGAGTAAGCTGTTTAGTCATAGACCGTGAAACGTTTAATCAATTAATTTCATCCTTGGACGAAATCCGAACGCGATACAGGGACGAACTAGTGGAACGTAGGAGGTGAATATATCTGTCTTTTTGTTAAATATACATATGAAAATTAGATCTTCCTTATGTTATATATAAATATTCTAGAATTAATATTATAACTATGTATATTACATTCACTGTTATATATAAATATTATGTTCCACGCTTGACATTAGGATGGGAGAATAAACTATATATTCCAAGTAAGTTTGGTGATAAAAAGTAAAAAGATATATCGTGTTAAAAAAAAATATCAATATAAGTGCAAAATGCGGGAAGAATAAGTCTATTTACGATTTGCAATCATATATTTGATTTTGGTTTTTATAACAAATATAAAAGAGAGAAAGAGAGAGAGAAAGTTAATTCATACTGATCAGAGATATACTGAAATCTTACGATTTCTTCAGGCTAAACGAGGAATTCCGGGATGTACGGTTACAAGACCTTCGGACTATTGCGACTCTCGGCGTGGGTGGTTTCGGAAGAGTTGAATTAGTTCAAATTGCTGGGGACAGCACACGATCCTTCGCTCTCAAGCAAATGAAGAAAGCGCAAATCGTTGAGACGCGACAGCAACAGCACATTATGTCGGAAAAGAGAATCATGAGCGAAGCAGATTGCGATTTTGTAGTGAAGCTTTTCAAAACTTTCAAGGATAGAAAGTATCTCTACATGCTGATGGAAGCTTGTTTGGGTGGCGAATTATGGACCGTTCTCAGGGACAAGGGACACTTTGACGATGGTACTACACGTTTTTATACCGCATGCGTCGTGGAAGCATTCGATTATCTGCACTCCAGAAATATAATCTATAGAGATCTTAAACCAGAAAACCTACTGTTGGATAATCAAGGGTATGTATTTGTATAATAGTTATATATATTTTATAATAAATATAGAAGACATTACTAATATATGTATAAAAATTATTATTTTAATAAATTTATTTCATGATCATATTTTATCTTTTAGATATGTTAAACTCGTGGATTTCGGCTTTGCTAAACGATTGGATCACGGACGGAAGACGTGGACTTTCTGCGGTACGCCAGAATACGTTGCACCAGAAGTCATTCTAAATAAAGGTCATGATATAAGCGCCGATTATTGGTCCCTCGGTGTTCTTATGTTCGAATTGCTTACGGGTACGCCTCCTTTTACCGGTGCCGATCCGATGAAGACGTACAATATTATTTTAAAAGGAATCGATGCTATAGAATTTCCCAGATCTATCACGCGTAACGCGATGGCGCTAATCAAGAAACTTTGCAGGTAAATACATTATACGAAATGAATTTTTCTGTACTGAAAGTGTTCCATCTATTTAATATATTCATAGTATAACAATATTTCTTGCCAGTGTCCACAATACGCATATAAATATTAAATGTATGCGTTAAACAATACAAATTGTTCTATTTTTAGGGATAATCCAGCAGAACGTCTTGGATATCAAAAAGGCGGCATTAGTGAAATACAGAAACATAAGTAAGCAATATATTTAGGTTTCAGCTATAAAAGTTTATGTTTCGGTTAAAGTTATAAAAGAATATTTTTAAAAACGATTTATCTTTACGGATGCTTTACAGATGGTTCGATGGTTTTAATTGGGAAGGTCTGAGGACGAGAACTCTGGAACCGCCAATACTGCCACGAGTCGGAGGCGCTACGGATACTACGAATTTCGACGCTTATCCGGCTGATTCTGATCCACCACCACCTGACGATATTTCCGGTTGGGATAATGATTTTTAACGCAAAAAGTATAGAGGATTTTTATTTAATATTCGCGTTTTTTAATCACATGGCAGGAAATCGTAACAGCACGATTTCTCGATCATACGAGACAATTGGCGACACCTGCATTTATATTTATATTTCTCTCATAACATTACGTGATATATCAATTGCAGTTGCATTTTGTCATATTCTTACAATTTTGTCCTATTCCATACAGTCTATTTGTCTATTAGAACAAGGGAAACTGCACTGTGATAAAATTTAGGGTTTTTACGAATTTTTGGATGATAGATTTTAGCGAAATTTAAAAAAAAAATGGAAGGTTTAGACACAAATTTTTTATTTATGTCGCGACTGGTGTGCGTTCCAGAAGTAAAGTATCTTCCCCAGTGTTATATATCGTAATAGAATACTTATGCAAGTGTCAAGTGCCATTATTACCTCAAGAAGGTAAATTCATACATACGTTCATACTTGTGCTCAGAAACGCGGTCACACGCAAGAAACAGTCAGCTCAAGTCCAAGGGACCTCTTGCCATCCATACTTAGCTTATCAGAATGTGCATATAGTTCAATCTATCAGATGTTAAATTTTTTACGGCAAGATCATTGTTGTTTGATTCATGCTTTAGAGTTTATTATTAATAATTGTATTTTAATTATATATACGTATGTGTATATATATATACATATACACACGCACATATATATACATAATTCTTGTAAATAATTTATTATATCATATAAATTTTAAATACGAAATGTATATATATATATGTCAATATCGAATAAAATTTTATGAATAGCAGCTGCAGGTATGGCTGCAAGAACCAATTAAATCCACTTTCTTTAATGGTTTGTAGTATTTAGTGTCTCTCCTACTGAACAGTAATAAAAAAGGAGAAATGAATTATATATGATTATCTCTCTTGTAATTACATTCACAAAAGCATATTATCATTTGATTATCGACATTCTGACTATTCAGTAAAATATTTGATCAGAATTTTCTAGATATTGTATTTTATATACATATATTGGTTCCTCTAATATTATGGAAAAAATTAACTTGACTGATTCTTTTAGCCAAGCCTTCAATTGTATTGTGTGTACATATATATATACATATATATATCTGTTGATTTCTTCTTTATATATAAAATTCTATCTTGGAAAATTATAAATAAAAGTGTACGAGTATTATTAGGGTAATACTATGATGTTGTAACAAGTATAACAATTTAATACTGTAGAATCCTTCTATTAAAAATCTCGTCTCAATCTTCATTCTTATTTTTAAAGACTTATGCAAAATGCAACAATAAAAATATTATTGCTTGCTGTCTTGTACTCACTTTCTTTACATATAATCATACATTGCAAGAGAGCAGTAGTAAAGGAGATGAAAAGAAAATCTGTTCCATCATAAAGAAGTAATTTACAATATTAAGTATAAAAATACAATCCTAATAATTCTCTTACACTAATACCAGATCTAAATTAAAGCACAAAAGTGATATATCATTGTTTTCTTTGTTGTGTGAATAATTACAAACCTAAAATAAGAATATTATATTGCTATATACATATATATATTTTATATTAAACATCCAATTTTAATCAATTTTTTTGTATGAAGGCCTATCTGGACAAATTTGCATGCTAAATATTTGTTTCATTCCATCATGTTAGATCTTGATAAAAATATACTTGTTCAATGTTTTTTGGCTAAAAATAAAGGTTTGACTTCCAATTAATGATAGATTATATAAGACAAATGCTTATTTATCCAGGTAGGGCAGCGAAAGCATGAACGTTTCGAAAACGATATTATTTTACGATTTATTTTACTGATTTTGATCTAATGAAAGTGTTGAAGTATGTGTAATCAAAAGTTGAAATCGTCATATCCTAAAAATATAATCTCTCTCCTAAGCTCAAAAAATGTCATTTTTAACGCTTCCTTATTCCTTCTAGCGCCGAATGACAATTTTTAATTCCCAAATTTTTATTTATTCTTTTTCTTTATAGCTAGTGGGCTTCCCAAAAATTTATCTGTACGCCAGTTGGTAAAGTTCCCTGTAAGGTATTCCTTGCCATCTTTATAAAATCTGTTCATGTTGCTTGCACTTTTTGCATATTTTTCGTTTTCTCTCTTTCTCTCTAACGTTTAAATATATATTGTATTTGCCTCGTTTTAGGACTTGCAAGCAACACAAGCAGACCTTATGGCCAGAGAGAAAACCGATAGAGTTTTCGAATGAACGAGTTAATCCAACCCGGATCAATTAATCACTATATTTTACTATGAATTCAAGTCTTTTATTGGCAGAGGCGATGCAATGACGTCATTAATTGCTCCCAGAGCGATTAAACCTGCTACATTCGAAAACGCTATCAGTCTTCTCTCTGCCAGTACTGAAAATCTATAGTGCACATAACGTAAAGGCACCCTTACATGGCAGCATTAAGCGTCGAGCGTCTGCGCAGAAAAATGCGCAGAATTTAAAAGAGATAGATTCTAGGCTGAAATTAGATTCTGCGCAATTTTCTACGCAGACGCTCGACGCTTGACGCTGCCATGTAAAGGCACCTTAAAGCTGTTAGTCCGTTACATGTAGGAGATTGCGCTCTTCTTGTATATTACAATACCTTCTTTCTGCAAATGGTAAGTCCAATTCTTCACATAACGCTAGAGAATAAACGTAACTTTTGCGATGGCCAATCAATCTTCCCTTCTTCAGTAATAATACACGTGCGGATGGTGATTGGTTACCGCGTTCACCTCCAATCAATTTCTTGTATTTTTAATCATGAACCATAGACTATATATTACACTAGACCGCTAATTTCGATGCTAAAGATAATGCAAGGGCAGCCATTTTCATGTGGGCAGAGTATAAGGTTGAGCAAGAAATATATATATATGAAAATTTCTTATTTTTATATTTAGCCTTCATATTTTTTACTATTTTATCTTACTTTGCAATGTATGTTTATTATTATACCTTATCAAGTGACATAGCATATCGAATTCTGCGATACCCGGTATGACATTCTGCCCACATGAAAATGGCTGTCATTGCATCAAATTTCACCATATGAGCGTGTGGTGGTCCAGTATAATCACAAGTATAATATATAGAAGTCTGTAATTTATGATCGTTTTTTTATACCAATTATTCTTTATGTGCTTATATTGCTGGCAATTGCTGATTCCAATAATGTATTCGTGCATTTAGGTATACGTTTACGTCATACACACACATACACAGTAGATGCTCAACAAGAGTAAAAAAAATAATAAAAAACAGCCGTGACATAAACGAATTTGCAAGGTTTGTACTCTCTCTCTCTTCTCTTTTGTTAACTTTGTAAATTAAACAATATCTCTTATTCTGTTTTTGTTTCTTATATTAGTTGTGAATTATAAATGATGCTAAATAATTCTGTGTGCTTAACAAAATATTTTTATGCATTTTTTACAGAACATTATTGTAATGATATCGTTAAGAGATATAAAGTTTGAGTAATGAGGATGGAATGTACAAGACAGATATTCTCTGCACTGCTTATTCTACTAGCGCTACATTACACAACATCAACTTATATCGGAGATACTCAACAGATCGATGAGCCTTCCAAAATTGGTTGGCTTTTTTCTGATGCCTCTATTAAGACTAAGAGGGTTCAAAGATCTGTAGGTCTTAGAAGAGGATTTGACGATGATGATTTACCAAAGATAAGTGGCAGTTGCAGAGATAAATTGAATCGTCTATGTGGAAATATAGATAAGAATAATGAAGAACTTACGCTGCTTGAGTGCATTCAAACGTTCAAGGTATATGTTAAAAGAAAAAGGAAAATTTATTTTTTAGAGATCTAACTATTTTTGCAAATTTTACAGCCTACTGAGATATCTGGAATCAATCAGAAGTGTCAGCAGGCAATTTGGATTTATATTCAGAATATTACAAACAATCAAAATATAAAGAGGCTTGCCAGAAAGGCATGCGGTGAACAATTGGATACCCTACAATGTCCCGATTCTGATAAAGCCCAAGGAGCATATCTTTCTTGCTTGATTGATAAGCGAGAGAGGGTTACAGATTCTGAATGTATTATTTACATTCAGAGATTAGAATGGATTGCTTTTAGTGATTTTAGAATTCTGATTCCTTTTAAGGCAGATTGTACGGATGACATTAAAAATTTTAAATGCGATAATCTGCAGCCATATAGGGACATATCGCAAGGTCAGATACTAGCTTGCCTACAGGAACATGTTGAACAGCTGCAACATGAATGCAGGAGACACATTCTCCGTGTATCTGAGATTCAAGCAGAAAATATCAAACTGGATCGTCAGTTATACATGGCGTGCACTCAGGATCATGTGAAGTTCTGTCACGACATTCGACCAGGCAGCGGTCAAGTTTACAAATGTTTGATGCAACATAAAACCGATAGGTAGATATTCAAATATTGAAAAAAATAAATATTGTAGTGTGTCTAAATTCAGGAATCTAGGAGTTTAATAAGAGTCTAAAAGAGTCTATTTAAGAGTCTAAAAAGCTAAATATTATAATATTTATATAGTAAAAACCTAAGCAATCTAATAATATCATTTAGGAATTCTTCTTTTTCTTAATCGTTTTTCTATTTACAGATCAATGACTGCTCAGTGTCAAGAACAATTAACGAGGAGAGAGAAACTTATTGCTTCTGACTATAAAGTTAGCAAGGGTCTGGTTAAAGCATGTAAGGAAGATATCAGAAGTAATCACTGCAGGCGATCCGTGTCCGAAGACAAGGAGATCAAGTTAGCGCAAATCTTGCTTTGCTTGGAGTCGGCCGTAAAGAACGGTAGCAAGATCGATGGAAATTGTCAAGCAGAAATGTTCGATCATAGAAAGCTTCTGATGGAAGATTATAGATTGTCACCAGAGATCGTAGACGGATGTGCCAACGATATAACGGTTTTTTGCAATAGTCTCGAAGTCGGCGGTGCTACGATACACTGTTTGATGGAGCATACGAGAACGAGAAAGAAAAAATCGAGAGTTACGCCGAAATGTCAAAGAGCGGTAAAGAATTGATCCAGAAAACTAGAAATCTTAGGGTCCAAAGTTTCTAAAATAATTGCAATAATTAACATATTTATTTATAATACTTTTCGAAAAATTTTCAGAAACATTATATTGACAAAAGATGTATATTATAATTTTTTTATGAAATATTTTGTATTGCATAATTTTAGTTGGAGGAGTTAATCATGGAAGCTGATGCCGGCGAAGATTGGAGAATTGATCCGGTTTTAAGAGAACAGTGTCAACCTGTTGTCAATCTAGCTTGTAGAGATGTAAGTTTGTATACAAATGTAGGCTATAAGCATATTTTGGTTTATATATAAAATTTTAAACTTATTTTTCTCCATTTAAATGCATTTAATGAATTTCCCTGTTAAGTACTTATTTTTAATGTCTAATTTAGGTACATGGCGGAGATGCCAGAGTGATATCCTGCTTAATGGAACAATTAGGAACAGAAAGGATGACCGAGGCCTGTGAAACAGCTCTAGTGCAAATACAATACTTTATCGCTAGGGATTTTAAACTGGATCCACAATTGTACAAAGCATGCAAGTTTGATGCTATGCGTTTGTGTCATGCGAGAAACGCATGGGCCAATGACGGAAAACAGATGGATCCTGAAACAGGACCTCTCGTACTGCCATGCTTGTATCGGCATGTATATCAGAAAAATGTGACGGTAGGATTATTAAGACTACATGAAATATATAATTAAATTTTAATTAAATTAATTTAATAATTATGCTTTAAACTAAAATATTTTAGCTGTTAAAACAAAACACAACTTATTATTATTATACCAAGAAAAATAATTTTCTTTCGTTATTTTCTGTTATTTAGTTGAAAGCAGATTGCTTGGGGGAAATTAGAAGAGTCATGAGGCAGCGTGCTGTAAACGTTGACTTACAACCTGAGATAGAAGAAGTGTGCTTCAATGAACTAGCGTCACTTTGCTACGATAAAACTGCAAAGGGAGAGGAGATTCTGTGCCTGCAGGATAATTTGGACAAGTATTGATACTCTTACATATTGATACTCTTACTCTTAATAGAAACTACATATTGAAAATTGTTTGGAATTATTTTGCTGATCCTTCACTTATCATTTATTTAAACTGTATTTCTTACACATGCATTACAATAGAATATTTCTTTAAAAACTTTTTAAGAGTAGTTTAAAAATATTTTTGATATTATTAAATTGTCTTTGTTATATTAAACTTTTTGATCGAATATGTATTAATTGCAGCTTAAACAAAAAGTGCAAGCTTGCAGTTGGAAATTTCACTGAAGAACAAGCAGAGCGAGTCGAGTTGAATCCTATCATTTCTTCCCATTGTCAACATATTATGGAACGTCATTGTGAGGTAAATTATTAAATTAAATGTATCATTTTACATATTGTCAATGAGATTTACATATATTTTAGGAAGTGTTAAAATATGGAAAGGATGAGGGAGATATGATGGAATGCCTTATTGAGCATAAGAATGAGCTGGATGCACGCACGGATTATAAATGTAAAGCAGCTGTGGAACATTTCCAATTGATATCTTTAAAGAATTACCATTTTACATATAAGTTTAAAGAAGCATGCAGGCCATACGTTAAAAGATGGTGTCCTAAGTAATTAAATTTCTCTCTTGAAATATATGATAATAAAATATAAATATTTTGAAACTTTCAAACACATTTTATCGCATATATTATAATTTAGATCGAAGACGAAAGCCGATGTGATAGATTGCTTAAGCTCAATTGTGCAGGAGGACATAATAAAAGAGTCCCAGCATCGCGTATTGAAGGATTGCAGACAACAGCTGCGGGCACAACTTTATCAGCAGCGAGAAAAC